CTGTGGATAACGAGACCTACTGTATGTGCACTGTAAACTTGAGGGATACAGCTAGCAATCAACAAGGCCTGGAAGGGATTTATTTATTTATTTATCTAACAGAAGCTGAAGCTGCCAGTATTTCGACGCTGAAGAAAGCTGAGGAAAAAGCTGTTCCTAGTCAAGAAGAGATTTTTGCTGAATGTTTCCAGAAGAGGATCCTTGGGCTGCTGGCGGCCATGTTGCCTCGCCTGAACTCAGTAAGAAACTTTTCCTGAGAAGCGGGGAGAAGCCAGCGGGGGGGGGAACATCTGGGCAAGAAGGAAAGACGAAGGATGGCCACAAGAGTCTGCCAAACTCTTCGGCCTGTTAGCCTCTCTTCAGCCTCGGGCTTTGCAGCTCCCTTGGGCCCCGAGTGCGGAAGGAGCCACCTACGTAGCGAGGAAGGCTAAGAGTCAGGAATGTCTGGGGAGAGGAGCTGAGAAATAGCTCCCGGTCTGAGGAGGCACCGGCTTTCCGATCAGGAAACATGTGTCCTCAAGTGTGCTTGTTACGTTTCCTTTAATGGCAGCTATTCCAAAATTCAGTAGGACTCCCATAGCTGTGGTTTCACTTACCCAAGGTATGAATAATATTAAAAATATTTTTAAAGAAAGAAATACATATTTCCATGATGCAGTTACCAGAACTAGCCACTAGAGGGAAACAGAAACAAAGCTATAGGACCTCCATATCCACAGAATCAGTATCTGCAGTCTAAAAATATTTTTTTAATAAACTAGAAATGTGTATTTTCACGATGTATTTACCAGAATGGTCACTAGAGGGAGCGAGAGACCATGCTATGCATTCTTGTTGAAGAACATGTAGCCTGGCCTTTGGCTCCCTCTGCTGGCCAGTTCTGGTAATACGTGGTGAGAACTTTTTTTCTTTTTTATTTCTTTTACTGTGCTGTGTATAGTATTTGCTATTATCTGCTGCTTTTAACATTCTCCTGGGTGGAGCTTGGAAACGATCCCCCACAGATATACCGGGTGGTCTTATTAAACAGTTGCCAGCTTAACAAGATTGTTACCTCCAAGATTTGCACCATGTGTTTCAGTCACTATGCTTTAGTGACACATGGAAATATAAGACTTTCTTTTAAAAATTGCTGCCAGCTGGGTAGAAAAGGGAATGGCAAGCGTCGGATTCTTCGGCGCGATGAAATTTGAAACTTGGACCAACCCCTTCCGGATTTGCCAGCGCCGCTGACTTCTGCCCTTCCTTCCCTGTTCTTCTCTTTCAAGGCCCTACCGACATCTCTGGTCAACCTGGAGCAGGTCCTCCCCGTCATGTTCCAGGTGGTGATCTCGAACGCCGGCCACCTCAACGAAACCTACCACCTCACCCTGGGGCTCCTCGGGCAGCTGATCCGGAGACTGACGCCCGCCCAAGTCGACGCGGCCGTCTCCAAAGTCCTCCCCGCCGAGCACAGCCTGGTGGCGGCTGGAGACGCTTCTTCGGTGCCCGAAGGCTGGAAGACGACCCATCTCCTGTTCAGCCTCGGAGCTGTCTGTCTAGATAGGTACGTCGTTGGGAGAAAGGCTTTCGATTCAGCAAGCGTTCTGTTTCTTAACCCATCCTGGCAACTTCCTCTTTTACATCTGTGCGTCGACTACGTTATCGCACAGGAAGGAAACAAAACTCAACATCCACAGGCCTGCGGTACCTTTAGGACGACATGCCATTCCTCAGTAGCGGATGGGCTTTTGAATTCTCCTAAATTCTGAGTATTACAGGTGGTTCCTTGTCTCCACGCTGGGGCTTTTTGGGAGTCAGTTTGTTTTCCATGAAGGCTTTCCTCTGCATGAATGCTTAAATGAATGATATTCAGTATTTGTGAATAGATGAATGACAGCATTAATAAAACGGCATGGTTCAGAATGAACACTGTGACTGAATGGGAACTCTCAAGGTGGGGACGTTTGAAGGCGCTGATCATTTCCTGGAGGGTCCCCAGATGCCATGGAGGGTGAGGGCTTGTAGGCTCAAAGGGGTTGGAAGCACGAAGCGCTGACCGAGTCTGACCGAGCTGGTCCTTTCTGATCTGTTTTTTTGGCTTTCAGCCGCGTGGGTTTGGACTGGGCCTGCACCATGGGGGACATCCTCCGAGCCCTGAGCGCCTCCGCCCGGTGGCAGCCGGTGGTTGCGGCCTTCACCGACCACTGCATCAAGCAACTCCCTTTCCAGCTAAAGCACACAAACATCTTTACCTTCCTGGTGCTCGTCGGCTTCCCCGAGGTGAGCGCATCGAGCCGGGGCGGGGTGGGCCTTTTCCGAAACGGCGCCAGAAAAAGAACGTGGTGTTCTTCAGTGAGGAGACGGGGGGGGCAGCGTTGAAAACATAGCCGTCCTTCCACGTTGATCCAGCGAAGGGGCTCTGAACCCCTCTTTCTGCTGGCGCAGGTGCTGTGCACAGGAACCCGGTCGGTGTACATGGATAATGCCAACGAGGCCCACAACGTGATCGTCCTCAAGCACTTCACGGAGAAGAACAGGGCCGTCGTGGTGGACGTTAAAACCCGAAAGAGGAAAACAGGTTCACTTGAATTTTTTTTGTGCTCTCTCTCCCTCTCTCTCGTGATTTGCTCCCAAGGGGTTCGTGGCCATCAGAAGGGGAACGTGAGAAGGTCACGATTCTACTCTGAGAGGAAGCGTCTTCTCTGTTAGTCCTGCCTTTCCTCCACTGCACTCCAGACGGCCAACGTGGGTGTTCTCCTCTCTGGGTCTTCCCCCATGGCCCGGTGAGGTAGATCAGGAGGTGGGAGTGTGACCAACCCAGCATTGACCAGTGAAATTTCTGAGTCAGGGGATCTTGAGCAGGTTCCTCCAGCACTGTAGCCACCACACCATGCTGGGTGTCTTAGTAAGGATGGTTCAGTCTCATGCTGTAGATAATAAGGCATGTGATTTGTGAGACTCCTTAATACAATATTATTGCTCCTCGCTTATTGACCACTTTGCTTAATGATCTAGTCCAGTGGTTCTTAACCTTTGTTACTCGGATGCTTTTGAACTGCAACTCCCAGAAACCCCAGTCAAGACAGCGGGTGGTGAAGGCTTCTGGAAGTTGCAGTCCAAAACTCCTGAGTAACCCAAGGTTAAGAACCAGTGACCTAGTCCATCATTAAATGAGGAGTACCTGTATTATAATCCCGAAAGGAATACATAGCATAGACTCTGGCTCCCTCCAGCGGCCAGTTCTAGTGACTTCATTGTCAAGAAGCACCATTTTCCCCAAAATATGACCTAACCTGAAAATAAGCCCTATTTTTGACGACCTAGTCCATCATTAAAGGAGGAGTGCCTGTATTATAATCCCGAAAGCGATACATAGCATAGACTCTGGCTCCCTCTAGCGGCCAGTTCTAGTGACTTCATTGTCAAGAAGCACCATTTTCCCCAAAATATGACCTAACCTGAAAATAAGCCCTATTTTTGATATTCTGATCCTGTGAATCCATGGATACTGATCCTGTGATTTGATATTCTGATTCTGTGAATCCATGGATACTGATCCTGTGAATAAGGGGGATCCTACTGTAGGAAGCAAAGAAAGTCGCCCGTGGCCGAGACTCCCGTGGAGGATGGTGACCTCATCTTCCTCTCCTTTCTAGTGAAGGACCTCCAGCTGATCCAGCCCTGGGGGCGGGACGACAGCGCGTCGCAAGGCCAGCTGCGACAGTACCTCCAGGCCTTTGCATCCGTGGCGACTCACCTCCTCCAGACCAACACCGACAGCAGCTGCCCGGAAGCCGTGGAGGCCACCTGGGTCTTGTCTTTGGCCCTGAAGGGCCTTCACAGGGCCCTGAAGGTAATGACCAATACACAGCGCAAAGGTGGGAATCCTGTGGTCCATGTGCGATCATGCGCCCCTCCGGGGACCTTTATGTGCCCTTTCCCCGAGAACCCCCAAGAACCCCAAAAGAAGTGGGAGGATTTCCAACCCATATATATATATGGGTTGGAAATCCTCCCACTTCTCTTTGGTAGCGTGACTTGTCTCCGAGGTACATTATTTGAACTGGAGAACCACTTCTCTTGGGTAGCGTGACTTGTCTCCGAGGTACATTATGCCCTCATGCCACGTCTGCCACCGTATTTTGGAAGACAGTGTGTTTAATGGAGTAATTCTGTGCTATATGAAATCGCTTGAGGACAGTCTGCAGAAGAAAGCGCAGCCATTCAAGGTTGTATTTCAGTCCTCAATGGAGTTCTTAAACCGAGGAGAACCACTTCTCTTGGGTAGCGTGACTTGTCTCCGAGGTACATTATGCCCTCATGCCACGTCTGCCACCGTATTTTGGAAGACAGTGTGTTTAATGGAGTAATTCTGTGCTATATGAAATCGCTTGAGGACAGTCTGCAGAAGAAAGCGCAGCCATTCAAGGTTGTATTTCAGTCCTCAATGGAGTTCTTAAACCGAGAACTGCTCTCATAAATGGAGGAGAAAAGAAATTCCAAAACAGAAGAAATAACTGTTTTGAAAGTTATATTTTCACTTAACACTTAAATCATTTCCTTAGCCACTTTGCAGAAGTTACTAATAAGGTGGGATGTAATTTTTTTTGAGACTTGGAATACAAACTTTGCAACTGTCTTAGTAACTGATTTGGTGTCAGTACATGTCAAAAAAAAGTGGCTTCGGTTTCTAAGCTGCGGAGCGGGGAGGTTGGGAGTTTGATTCTCCCCACTGTTCCTCCTTGAAAGGGGTCGGACTCTGTGATCCATAGTGTTTCCCTTTCAGCTCTGCGGTTCTATGATAATGACTATACATTTAGTTATTTTCTCCCAATAAAGAGAATCATATTGTTAGTGGTTTAGGTTTCTAAGCTGCGGAGCGGGAGGTTGGGAGTTCGATTCTCCCCACCGTTCCTCCTTGAAAGCGGTCGGACTCCGTGATCCATAGTGTTTCCCTTCCAGCTCTGCGGTTCTATGATAATGATTATACATTTAGTTATTTTTCTCCCAATAAAGAGAATCATATTGTTTAATCCGTTGCATTGCTGTCCATCAGAGGCGGCTCCAGAAAACATTCATTACAGTTCAGAGAAAGTAGCATAAAGTCTAGCATGTGAAGACACTGTTCCCTATACACCCTTTAGCATGGCAGCAGATCTTCTTAAAATCAGTGTGACTTGTTTCTGGGTAAAACGCATAAGACTTACCGAGGGTTTATCCACAGCCGTGCAGGACAAAGCTTTCCTCTCGCTCTGCTGTAGCCTGGCCTATGTTAACTGCAAATGTTTCTTCCCTGTCTCCGCCAGACGCACGCCTTTGAAGAAATCCGCACGGCGTTTCTCCAGACGGGGCTGCTTAAACTGCTGGTGAAGAAATGTAGCAAGGGCACCGGCTTCAGCAAAACCTGGCTCCTTCAAGATTTGGAGGTAATCAAGAGGATTGTTTGTGGGCTTAAGGCATTAGCTACCCTTGTGAACGCTCACTGGGCCACCGATCGACGCTCTTAACTTGGTCACGCCAGTCGCTCAAAAACGGCCGGGCGAAGAAAGGTGGTATCAGGTGCATTTGTGAGACATACCCTTCACCTTTTGCTGAATGTAGCAAACATTAAAAACAAGGGAGGGGTAGGTGGGTTCTCAAGTCACGAACTGAGTCAAAAAACCGGAGTCAAATCCAAGTGGAGTCACCGAGTGTGGCTCAAGTCCAACTTGACAGCAATTCCCACAACTCGAGTTTCCAACCCTGGTGGAAGCGTCCGTTTTGAGTTGTACGTTATGTTTCCCTTCTTCTGCCAGATCTTGTCCATCATGCTTTACTCCTCCAAAAAGGAGCTCAGCTCCCTGGCTGAGCACAAGGACTCTGAACTCCACGAAGGGGATCAGGATCAGGCCGGCGATCCTGACGCCGTCTCTCCCGCTGGGGCCGACGAGAGCCGGCTGGACCCCTTGGAGGGCTTGGACGAAACCACCAAAATCTGCTTCCTGGTAGGTCCTCTTGGGGATAAAACGCCTGATCGGGTGGGGAAGAGGGGAAGCCCGGCTGCGCTTGTGCCAGACAGTGGAGCCCAGAAGCATGTCTAGCACAGCTCAGTATCCACTGAATACTCCTCCCCCCCCTTTTCTTAAAAAGATAAATATTTTACATTCTTACGAGGCAGGATCCACAAGCTTGCTGATGCTTCATTCATTGCAAAACATTCCCATTGCAGTAATTGATGAAGGCTATTCACACTGCCTGTCTCGCTGTGAATTTTAGCTCTTCCCGCTACCTCTATAGGGTTGTGTTCAGCTTCCGTTTGATTCTCTATATCCCCAAATTCCAGAAAAAAAAGACACCATATGAGTCTGTTACAATGGCAGAGATGCAAAGAAAAGTCACAGCCGGTGTGGTTTTACTTTCTGTGTCCCAGAAAGCTCATGTTGAATCTGTTCAGGTTTTATTACATCTGTTTAGTTTTCTAAGAAACACAGTGAGCTTTCGGTGAAATCCCATCGAGGCTACTGGAATTAAGTGGAATAAAAGTACTTTAGGTGCTGCAGCTATGAAATTGTTCACTATGTACCTCCCTCCACCTCATATATATGGGAGGACCCCCTGTATCCACAGCATCGGGATCTGAAGTTTCACTTATCCACCATCTGAAAATATTAAAAGAAAAAAGAGACCATATTTCCACAAAACTGGCCAGTAGAAGAAGCCAGAAGCCATGTATAGGGTTTGCTATTCAAGAGAGTCTGAAACTCGTTTCCTGCAGATATGGCGGTCTCACTGTATTTATTTAATGTTTGTGTACTTTTGACTACTAAATAAATATTCACCTCTTGCCTTCTTGAGGAGAAAGACAAAAGTATAAATATTTTAAATACATACATTCCTTTCAAGTTTTCGAAAACTTGGTAGAGAATTTGGGGCACCGTAAAGGCTGATTCATGCAGGTTCAGGCGCTATCCAGTATCATCTAATTAATTCATCTTAATTTTCAGATGACACACGATGCCCTGGATGCTCCGTTGCACATTCTTCGAGCCATGTACGAATTGCAGATGAAAAAGAGGGATTCTTTCTTTCTGGAGGTTCAGAAACGGTAAAGAGAGTTTTTGAATGTGGTGGCTAAGAAAAGATGGGCGACTCTTTTAAGTGCATAAAGTAGCGATCTTAGAAAGAGGCCTCTGGGTGAGAAAAGAAAGGGGGAGAACCCCCAAGCCGATGTCTTTCTTATTGCTATTTATTAACGGATTTATCTGTACACCCACGTCTCCAAAGCAATGGCCAGCGAAATGCACGAGAGGCAGCATATTTTTAACAAGAGGTCAAACAATTTTTTTTAAAAGCCCCGTTAGCCTTCCTCAGCCTTCAGTCTTGAGGTGGGTTGGGGCTACAAGGTCCATCGCCCCGACCATCGGCCGCACTGGCTAAGGGCGATGGGCTTTGTATTTCTAACAGCATCCGGATCACTCGCTCAGATAAGGCGTCGTCCAGCTTTCGCTCCTTTGCAGCCAGCAGCGTTCCATGACCCTCAGAGAGGGTCCCTCAGCGAGCGGAAGTCTCGCCTGGAGCTAGCTAGCTTTGGGGCCCTATTTATTTGCATTCTTCAGCCAAAAAAGCAGGTCTTGTGAGCTGATTTGCAACACGTAGAGCCAAGGGCATTGTAAACAAGCCTGCTGCCCGGCCCGATTTCACTATCAATGTAAAGCAGCCCTTAAAGACGGGCAAGGCCGGGAAGGCCGGCTCAGAAATGGAAAACGGGATGCCGTGCGATGCAAATGCCATTTCTCGGGTGGGCGCCTCTCGATGGTGACATGTTTTGTGTCCTGAAAGGTTTGATGGCGACGTGGTCACCACGGACGAGAGGATCCGGACCCTGGCTCAAAAATGGCAGCCGAGCAAGCGGTTGCGGTCGGAGGAGCAGAGTTCGAAGGCTCTGGATACGGATATGATCATCGTACCTTGTCTGGTGAGTTTCTACAGCAGGCGTTGCTTGCGCTTAACGAGCCGCGTAGGGCGGTTGCTAGAACCACTGGCGGGGGAGAGGCTTCTGGGAATTGCAAGTCCAGGATTCCCTTCGGGTGACCCAAGGTTGGGAACCACCAGTTTAGCCCAATCTGGAGGAACGTCAAGCTTATATTAAAAAGGCATCAATTGTAAATGAAGCCTCATCACCTCCATGCCGTGGAATTTTCACTGGCGCATGGTGAGTGATGGAGAAAGCAGGCAACCTGTGTTGGCAGCCAGAGGCCAGAAAGTCCGGGTTGGGGATAACGCTCGTGATGGGTTCTGAAACGGGGATCCTTCTAAACCTGTCCGGCCGGCTTCCATCCCCCAGGCCAAGCCTGCCCCCTGCAGCCAAGCCACGGAGGAGTCGAACCCCGTCACCCAGAAGCTCATCACCAACACGGAGAGCGACCTCCAGCTCAGCTACGCCAAGCAGCGTCGGACCAAGAGCGCCGCCCTCCTCCACAAGGAGCTGGACGCGCGGAGCAAGAAGGCCATCCGGGGCTACCTCTACCGGGTCAACGAGGCCACGGCCGTCCTGTACGCCAGGCACGTCCTGGCGTTGCTACTGGCCAAGTGGCCGGAAGACGTGGCCATCGGCGAGGAGACGTTGGAGCTCAGCGGCCCGGCCCACATGACCTACATCCTGGACATGCTGCTGCAGCTGGAAGAGAAGCCGCTGTGTGAGAAGGTGAGGCAGGCGCGCCTCGGTGGATTTTAGAATCCTAGCACCGCGGTCCCGGGGGGGGGGTGTCAGCCTTGCAAAGCGGCAGAAGAAAGCCGCTCGTTCTTGTTTTTTCCCGCTCCTCCCGCAGATTCTCCTGAAAGTGCTTCGTGGATGCAGGGAGAGCATGCTGGCCACCATGGCCCTCACCGCGTGCCAGTTCATGGAAGAGCCGGGCATGGCCGTCCAAGGGCGGGAATCCAAGCATCCCTATAACAACAACACCAATTTCGAGGTAAACGCCCCAGGTAGTCTCAAAGCCAGAGGTGTGGGTTTCGCCTCTGCCCCATGGGGTGCTGGTTGAGCTCGCTTTCCGTTTATTTTATTTAAAAATACGTTTACCCGGCCTTTTTTTCCTTAAAAGGACTTACAGCGATTAAAAAGCAATATCTAAAAGCTAAAAAGAGGTAAGTATAGAAATATTTTTAAAAAAGAATTAAAACAAATGCTCTATAAAATCAAGATTAAAATGTGTTCAACAACAAAGCTCAAACATCCGTTTTTAAAAAGCCCTCTCAGGCTGCCAGTCACTCAGGGGAACCTTGCCTGTAGAGAAAGGTCTTGGCCTACTTGCGGAAGAACAGCAATGATGGGGCCAGTCTGGCCTCCAGTGGGAGGGAGTTCCACAGTCTGGGAGCAGCCACAGAGAAGGCCCTCTCCTGAGTCTCCACCAAGCATGCCTGGTGAGGGTGGTGGGACAGAGAGGAAGGCCTTTCCTGAGGATTTTAATGCCTGGGCCGGCTCACAGAAGGAGAATATGTTTTATTATGCGTTCAGCAACAGAGCACAACCATCCATTTTCGAAAAGCCCTCTCAGGCTGCCGGTCACTCAGGGGAACCTTGCCTATACAGAAAGGTCTTGGCCTGCTTGCGGAAGAACAGCAACGATGGGGCCAGCCTGGCCTCCAGTGGGAGGGAGTTCCACAGTCTGGGAGCAGCCACAGAGAAGGCCCTCTCCTGAGTCTCCACCAAGCATGCCTGGTGAGGGTGGTGGGACAGAGAGGAAGGCCTTTCCTGAGGATTTTAATGCCTGGGCCGGCTCATGTTTTTTTAGGTTTGGACCCAAGCTAGTTAGGGCTTTATAGTTTAAAAACAGCCCTTGGAATTGTGTCCAGAAACGGATCGGCATCCAGTTGGAGCTGCTGGAACAAGGGAGTTAATAAGTTCCCTGTCACCAGTTCCAGTTAGCCATCTGGCTGTAGCATTTTGGACCTGCTGAAGTTTCCAAACATTTCCAAAGGCAGCCCCACGTAGAGCGCATTACAGTAATCCAGCCGAGAAGTTAACTAGGGCATTTGTCACCGTGATCAGATCAGACCTCTAAAACGTTGAAACGCCTCTCCGAGGGAGAGAAACGGATGGCAGACCCTTTCATCTCAAGCATCTTGGCGTTCCGGTTTTTCTCCCTCGGCCCCCACTCATCATCATTTTGGCCTCGAGGGTTTCCCACCCAGGGACCCGTGATTCCCCTTCTGTGTTCCCCAGCCCTTCCTTTAATACTGTCCGCCTCCCTTTCCCCCCATAGGATAAGGTCCACATTCCAGGAGCTATCTACCTCTCGGTCAAATTTGATCCTCAGTGTAACACAGAAGAAGGTTGTGATGAGCTGCTCATTTCCAGCAGCAGCGATTTCGCCCACGACCGGCACACCTTCAGCGGACCCCCCCACAAGTGGACCGATTTCGAGCTTCCAGGTGAGAGACGCCGAAGCCTTATCGGGTGGACGGACTTTTCAGGCTTCCCGTTTTCAAATCTTTGCCATTCGTTCGGGAGTGAGCCCCGGGGGGCTTGTCTGGGGAAAAAGATCCTTGGCCGAAGGGCCCGTGATGCCGATGAGCTGTTTTTGAACTCGTGAAGCAAGACCTGCAGGAAGAGGATTCGGGGAACCCAGCACCCCGTATCCGGCAAGGGACAGCCACAGACAGGTCTTGAAAACAACAGCACATTGTCCTTATTGTTTTCCTCTTGCCGGTGACGTTTGGACAGACACGACCTCTGAATGTGAACACCCTCTGTTGTCTTTAGAATCGTAGCTTGTCCTCCAATAATAATTTCTAATCACTACTTGTTTTAAAAAAGCCATGGTAGATAAAGGCAGACACTCATTCCAGCCAGCTGTATGAACGTTACATCTCACCAGCTCTGCCGAGAATCCCATTCTGGTTAAGATGGGAATTCAAGGAGTCCCGCCTGTTAGATCATGATTTGGGATAGCTTGTCCTCCAGTAATAATTTCTAATCACTACTTTTTTTAGAAAGCTATAGTAGATAAAGGCAGACACTCGTTCCAGCCAGCTGTATGAACGTTACATCTCACCAGCTCTGCCGAGAATCCCATTCTGGTTAAGATGGGAATTCAAGGAGTCCCGCCTGTTAGATCATGATTTGGGGAGTAGCTTGTCCTCCAATAATAATTTCTAATCACTACTTGTTTTAAAAAAGCCATGGTAGATAAAGGCAGACACTCATTCCAGCCAGCTGTATGAACGTTACATCTCACCAGCTCTGCCGAGAATCCCATTCTGGTTAAGATGGGAATTCAAGGAGTCCCGCCTGTTAGATCATGATTTGGGGATCCTTCGTAGCCCTCCACGTGTGGGACTCTGGATCCCACCCACCCCATCCAGTTGTGATCAGTGACAGGGGTTGTCGTCTGAAACTGCCTGGAGAGTCTCAGGCTCCCTATTCTCCTAAATGGCCTCTTCCTTCACACCGAGTTGTCCAATTTTCTCTTAAATGCCTCCAGGGTTCACCCCTTTCCCAGGTCATGGGTTTCGTTGTCGTACTTCTCGAACAGTTAAGACGTTTTTCCTGATCTTCTTCAGCCGAAATCCGGCTTCCTGTCGCTTGAGCCCCTTGTTGCGTGTCCTGCACTCTGGGATAATCGAGAGCAGATCCTGCCCCTCCTCTGTAGGGACTACCTTTCAAGTCTTTGAAAAGGGCTGTCCTCTCTCCCCTCAGTCTTCTTCTCTCAAGGCTAAACCTGCCCAGTTCTTTCAGTCTGTCCTCAGAGGGCTTGGTTTCCAAGGGCTGGCTTGGCGTTTTTCCCCTGGGTTGTCAAGGCAAGATTGTCAGCGCAGATCGAACTCCTGAAGTACGAGAATATCATTTGTGCAGATGTGGAAACCTTTGGGGGTGCCAGGGCACTCCCTGCCTTACCCTGATCTCCTCTACAAGGGAGTAGAAGAGTCTTCCTCTGAAGCCCCCATTCTCCCTTTTTGGCCAAGCCTGAAACCAGTTTTTCCTTTCTCAGGAGATACTCTGCACTACCGATTCACCAGCGACATGAGCAACACCGAGTGGGGCTACAAGTTCACGGTGACGGCCGGCCACCTGGGCCGTTTCCAGACAGGTGAGCCCCACCCCAGTCGGGGGGCAGCTCTCCCCACCCCGGTCGGATGCTCTAGTACCCCAGAGTGGCCTTTTGATCAGTGCTGGTCATTTGAATAGCACTTCCCCCCCCCCTTTAGTTCTGTAAGCCGTCCTGCTTGAAAATCAGTGTTTCAGGAGGGAGGAGGGAGGAAAAAGAATAAGCTCATCGGAGAGGCAGAGCGAAGGGTGTAAAGCGTTTCTGATCTACCCCAGGCTTCGAGGTCCTGAAGCAGATGCTCTCCGAGGAAAGGGTCGTCCCCCACCTCCCGTTGGACAAAGTGTGGGCGTGGCAGGTGGGCGTGGCCTGCCGGCAAACCGGTCACCAGCGCCTGAAGGCCCTCCACTTGCTCCTGAAGATCGTCCAGCGCTGCAGCGAGAGGTGAGTCTCTCCGCCTCCCCTCTTTGTTTTTGCCTTTCTGCCCAAGTTTCCTGTTCTTATGGCGGAGATCCAGCCATGCCTGTAGGTCTCCTGTTCCAAAACAGCCTTTTCTTGCTCTCCATGGGGCGACAGAATGCCTTCAAAGTGTTTCCTGGGCCTCTGGAGTAAGATTTCTTGGGGGGGCGTGCAAGTTGGGTGTGTGTGAAAATGCTGATTTTCGTAGAGGCGGTGGGGAACAGGAGGAGCACAATCGCTGCCCATTGGGTCCTACAAGTTTATTTGCTGTAAATATTTTTTCCACCGCCTTTCTCCTCAAGAAGGACTGGGAGGGGGGCTTACCTCATTTAAAAGACAACATTTATAGCTAAAAACAGCAAATAGACAAAGACGAAAAAGGATCGCACAAAGACCACACTAAAAAACAGTAAACAAAAGCAACACCGAAAGCACATTCAGGGCAGTAAAGCACAATCATCCATTAAAAAAAAAACCCACTTAGGCAGCCAGTCGGTCCGGGAAAGCTTGCCAGAAGAGAAGGGTCTTCGCCTGCTTGCAGAAGGATGATGAAGAAGTCTAGCCTCTAGTGGGAGGGAGTTCCAAAGTCCGGGAGCAGCTGCGGAGAAAGCTCTTTCCTATGTCCCCATCAGATGCACCTGCGAAGGTGATGGGACCGAGAAGAAGGCCTCTCCTGATGGTAACACCTGGAAAACAGTTTCCCTCCCGTGATGATTCTCGATCCCAGAACTTCCTCCCAACTGTTCTCATGGTCCTTCCCTGTCCTTTCCTGTGAGAGCTTTCAGCTGGAGATGCTGGCCGCTGAACCCAGAGCCATCCCTTGTGCTAAGTCTGTACACAGCTCCGAAGCTACAGATCTGTTCCTAGGGTGCATGAAAAGTCGGTCCAAAGCCAGCTTTTAAAAACCAGGCCAGGCCAGGCCAGGAGCAGGTGGCAACCGTCTTCCAGGGTGGCCCCATCCCTGTATTAAAGCAGGTGGCCACTATCTTCCAGGGTGGCCCCATCCCTGTATTAATCCCAGCTTCTCCTTCCTCCCAGGGACTGTGACCTTACTTTGCTGAAGCCCCTCTGGCAACTTTTCAGCTGCATGGAAAACAACATGCATCAAGACGTGACCAAGCCGGGGATCCTCCTCCCTCTCCACCGGGCGCTCACCGAACTTTTCTTTGTTACCGAAAGCAAAGTCAGCGTAAGTATTTCAGTTCTGGCTGGTGCCGCTGGAACCTGCCGGTGGATTCAGGAGATTCAGCATCCGTGATTCTCAACCACTGAACCTCCCCTGTCCCAGAAGGCATTATGTAGTTTGAAAAAACATATATTCCATGTAAAAAAAATTTGGGGGGGGGATATGGAGGGGCGGAACTGTACCCATCATTTATTTTTAGTATGGGGCTTATTGTTATCACCCTGTATCACACACATTGTTGTTGTTAAGGGGGACATTAGGTATCCCTTAGCTGTGGGATCAGTATCCGCGGTTTCGCTTAGCCAGGGTCTGAAAATATTAAAAATATTAAATGAAAAAAAAACCCCACAGAAATATGTATTTCCACAATGTAATTACCTAAACTGGCCACCAGAGAGAGAAAAATACCTTGCTATGTACAGTATAGGGTTTGCTACTATCCATGGTTTTTTTGCATCCATGGGGGCACAGGTGATCTTCCTTCCTTCCTTCCTTCCTTCCTTCCTTCCTTCCTTCCTTCCTTCCTTCCGTTTTTGTCTGTGCGACATGTAAAATAGCAGCGTCTGACTGGAGTGAGTTTGCTGCTGCTTTGAATTACGATTTCCCCCTAAGAACTGCACTAGAATAACGTTTCGGCCTCTGTTTGTCTCGTGGGGGGGTCGCGTTCTCCCGAGTCTGGTGTGCAAAGAGCCTTCTGGCATTGGCCGTTTGGGGTCTTCAGCGTATTTTACCGCTCTGTTTTTAGCCTGTGGGAAAACCCAACGAAGGAGCCTTTGAAACGGGAAGTTCCTCTTCTTGACCGTATTGGTCTGCGGACCCGTTTGCTTCCCTTCTGAAGGGATTCTCAGCGTGAACTGGCCTCTGACCTTTGACTTGTGGGCCTCGTTTGCTTCCCTTCTGAAGAGATTCTCAGTGTGAATTGGCCTCTGACCTTTGACTTGTGGGCCTCACTCCGTTTTGTCTGCTTGTAGGAACTTGGACATCTGCAGGAATACTTGCTTGCCTTAAACACGGAAGACCATCTCCATCACTGTACAGCACAGGTAAAAACCTCTGGAAGTCCCCGTCGGCCCAGCAACTTCCCTTTGTTCCAAGGCTGCTCCGCCTCACTCTACCTCCGGTCAAGAGCTCTGTCTTCCTTCCCGTTACTGGGGTTTCCATTATTCCTGATCTCCATTTTGCCTTTTTGCCTAGACGCTTCCCCTCCCCTTTCTAAAACAGCGTAGTTGGGCCTCCCCAAGAAAGCTCTCACCTCTTCGGAGGGCCACAGATCTTTGTGGAAATCCTTTGGCCTTCCTCTGTGCACAGATCCGCATGGCGTTCTTTTTTTTTTTCCACCATTGCCCACGGGGCAGTGTGAGTTGGGTGTCCCACAGATCACGACGGGCGCAGACCAAGCCCTCCTGGGTTACCCCACCCCCAGAATAGGTGGGGTGGCAGCCGCCCGGCAGTCTCTAGCTGCCCTGCAGCTCTTCAGCAGCGCTCCGTCTTTTCCTGTCCCAAGAAAGTTTTTTTAAAAAATCTTTACAAAGCTGTCTCGTTCAGCTTTGAACTGGTGGCAGTTTCTGCTTTCACCTCAGTTCTCTTTGTCCATGTCTGTAGACCAAAGGATGCCGGTAAAAATTGGCTTGCCTTGCATACAGCTCTTGCGCCGGCTGGATTGAAAGGAAGCCAGAAATGCAGCCACCCCCTTTAGCAGGAGGAAATCTAGAATGGAAATGCATTCGTCCCCCTGAAGTGAAAGCCATCAAAGCCAAAGAGACAGCATTCTCTAGGGTTAGAAGACACTGGAGTCTTCGCTGTAGGGCAGACCTTCTTGAGTGGTGACAGATCTCCCTGCTCTGGCTGTAGATCCCGCCCCAGGCGCTGTGTGTAATGAATGAATTAGCAGGCTTTATCAGAGTCAAAGCGCAGGCTGTTTCTAATATTTTCCTGCAGAGTCTTGTGGCAGCGTGAAGCCTAGTGAGTTTTATGTGGTGTAAGCTTTTGTGTGAACCGCAGGCAAGGAGGATGTAACCGTCAAAGTTGGGCATGGAAACCTGCCGGAAGTCCGTGGGGGTTCCTCGAGAAGGAGAACAGTCCTCCCCTACTCATCATCACGCCTTTGACGTCCGTGTCTTTCTCTCCCTCTGTCCTTTTGCATACAGGCCCTGAGAAACATTGCTGCTATTAGCCTGGCCATTAACTATCCCAACAGATCAACAAGCCCCTGGACTCTTTAACGGTTACCGGCTCTCGTGGCTCAGAACGAGACGCTTCTCATCTGCAGGGAACTCTCGGCCGCCGCCGGCCTCTTCGCTCGGGCCAGGCACCAGGGGAAAACGAAAGGCGCCTCTCCTGCTTCCGTGTCGCCAGCCAGCCTCCCTTCCGCTCACCCCGCCATGTAGATTCCACCAAACCTAACGCGCATTGCCCAGGAAACAGGGCTCACCACTCTGGAAGCACCCGGTGCATCGTTCGGAGCCCCCATGTATGCACTTCTGTCGTAGCATGTCCGTGGAACTGTATTCATTTTTCTAAATTTGGGATGGGCAGGAAAAAAAAATCACATGGAGCGGGAGGGGAGGACATGCCCAGAAAGGATTAGGACACAAATCCTGCCTCCGGGCGGGGGGGGACGGTGTCCCATCTTCGGCTCATCCCGCACAGCAAGGGCCACCCTCCCTGCTCCACAAAATCAGCGAAGGAAACCAAAACGGGCCGTGCCCGACCCTGCAAAGAAGCCGAGGAGGGTTTTCAGCGAGTCTAAGGAGCGTTTCCATCTTGCATTCTTTATCCTTTTTGTGAAAAGGGGGCTCCGGTCCCCAGCGAGGAGAACCCCCGCCCCCTTGTAGTTCCCATAGAGAAAGAAAAGAGGGGGAAGGTGGATGCCTGTCAGTGGAATGGAAGGATTAGGCAGCCGGCTGACGGAGGAACTGCCACCTTTCCTGCTCAGTAGCAACCCTCTGCGGGGTCCTGGTTTCTTCTCCTTTGACGCAGCCGCTGTGTCTCGGAAGGTGCGTAACTAGTTGTTCATGAGAGGTGAGAGAAGGCGAGGAAATGTCTGTCCTGAGATTACACCAGGAAAGAAGAATCTACGCCCGCCATCATGGTCTCGGTCTATCCTGAGCTATGGCCGCGTAAGAAATCTCAAGCATCCGGCGACGAGCCCGCCTTGCTTCATTGAGCAATAACGGCAAAGCTTTTCCCTGAATGTGGAGATCGCAGGCGAGGCCTCCGAAGTGAACCGAATTGGCCCTGATTTCTTGTCTCACGAGGACAAACCTTGTGAAATGCAAGCGTCTTGCGGGGACAGTCTTAACAGATGTTGTGCAGTCCTGTCCAGTCTCCCCCCACCCCCCAAAATTGGTGGCTTTTATTTTACTGGGCAGTAGCGTCTGCCTCGAACTTGGCAGGACCGTGTCTTCTGTCGGAGACCCTCTTCTGGAAGGTTCTGGGTTTGGAGGAAAGCTCGGGACCCCACACACTGAGCGGAAAGGAAATCCGTCAGCGTAGGAAAGTGGGCAGAAACAGGTTCCACCGGAAGAAACCACCTTAAGGAGGGACGAGCGTCAGGTGAAGGACAGGGTCTAGAATTAAAGAAGGCATGAGAAGAAGCTGTTTCAGAGATGCCTTGTGGAACAGGGATGGGAGCCTCATGGACTTTGGAGTTTCAACATGGATCTAAACCACGCTTGGTCCTTGAGGAAGAGCATCAATGCAGCAAGACCTCCCGGCGGTCTCTTAAAAGCAGGAGCCGTAACCCGCACACTTCTTTGAGGGCCGCAGCGTGTTTTCTGACATGCACACCTATGCACCCCACCTGGCTAGAGAGAGAGAGAGATTGTTGTCATGCTTTAGGAAAAGAAAAATCCATCTCAAGACGGAGATCTCAGAAAGAGGTCCCTCGGTTTCCAATCCGGGACTCCTCCGAGATGAATGACCGAATTAAATCTCTACGCTTTCCCTTCCTTATTTTTCCCTCCTGCCAACATTGAAAGCAGACACCCAAGCGATGCCTCGAGGCCCCCAGCGGACAGCATCCCGGTTTTCTCCCCTCCGATTTCTGTTTGGTTCTTAAGAGTCTTGCTTTCGCCCCCCTCGCCTTGCGACTGAGGGGTTGCGCAGCTGGACCTTTGAAGCCAGTCTTTCCCTTCTTCCGGCCCCTCCGCACGGAGGTCTCCCTGCGGCCCGACCCGGGCTTCTGCTCCCGCCTTATACTTACCCGGCTTGCTCTTCAACAAGAAGTCATCATCTTTCCGGTAGCCAAGAGGAGGCCAATCAGAAACGGACCCCAGGCCAGATCCCCTGCGCCCGCTCCCCCAAGATCCTTAGGGCCATCAATCAAAAACAAAACGTGATCTCTTAAGTTGTACAAATCATGAGCGGAAGGAGAGAATGAAATGTAACGTGCCTATAACAATGATAGTGTGTGTATTGAATTATATCTGATATCTATTAAGAAAGCACCACCCAAACCCATTTCTTTCTTCTTATTATTATTTTTTTACACCCCCAGCATAAACACTTCAAAAGGGTGGTTGTTAATTTTCCTTAACACGTTTATTTTCTTTGATTTTGTTCAATTTAATCAGGTGAGGGGTTTTTGAAGGGGGGAGGAGGGCGGTTTTGGGTTGAACGTTATTAAAAACCAGCCCCTTAGATTTCCCACCCATTCCCCCGGTTTGGTTTCCTATGTATTTAAAAAAAAAGTTACATATGAGATGGATATATGCAAATGAAAAGATATATTGTAAAAAAATCTATTAAAATGGAAATAGAAAAGGTTTGTGTCGTGATCGTCATGGATTTGGTATTAATGAGCTGATTCGGAAGCCGTGGCAGCTGTCCTGCATGCATGGGGAGTTCAGCTCCCCATCGTCCTGGAGAGGATAAGAGTCCAAATCAGCTGCCTTAATTTGTCAGTGTCTAGTTACCCATTCCTCCTTGGTAGGTGAGCTGGCTGATCTCCCGTAGGTACAAGTCCGAGACCATGAAGAAGAGGAATGTGTTTCTTGCTGACTCAGTGGACAGTGAAGAACAGGAGATCTGGAGGAAACAGCACAAGACCATACGGTCTGGTGGGTGGCGCTTTCTCGCTAGCTAAGTTGCAAAGTCACAACTATGGGTCTTTCCAGCTTCACTTTGCAATTTCAATTCACAATGAGCCCTTACAGTCACAGGTAACCCAACTTGTTCCTCCAGGCCCTCGTCTCTTGCGCCAGCTTGATCTTCCTCTTTTGTCCTTTAACGTGCACTCCCTGTTCTCAAGGAGCCTGGGTGCAAGGGCTACTGGAGCAGGAGGCTAGATTTCCTCCCGAAGCCAAAGGTGATTTTCTTAAAGCGGAAAAAAACAACACATTTTGCTTTTGCACTTTTTTTTTGGTTGAAATAAGGCACAACAAGTTTGAGAGGCGAATCACACCCCCCAAGAAGTATGGGTCTCTGGCAGTGAGAGGAGGTGTAGGGAGCTTTAGACCAGACATTCTCAACCTTTGGGCCCTCCAGATGTTCTTGGACTACAACTCCCAGAAATCCTGGCCAACCGGGGCGAAGGTTTCTGGGAGTTTTAGCCCAAGAACATCTGGGGCCTCAAGGTTGGGAACTTCTGTCTAGAGGGTGCCATGAGGTCTGTATAAAGGAGGAGGAGGGCAGTAATGCTCAGTGGGCTGTGTTGCATATTCAGTTCAGTTACTTTGGGGCAGCAACTCCAGTGGGTGCCGTCTATTGGGTGGCCTATTCCCAGATCTCTTGCAACCATGACATATGGCCTGTGCCCATCTATTTCCACACCCACAGATCTGCTCTCTGGGTGAAGGTCTCCTACCAAAGAAGCAGCTGTTTCTTGCAAATCCCTTCGGTTTTCCTGGATTTCTATTTTTATTTTTGAACTAATACACTTTCTCCCCAAAGCTATGTTTAGATCAGCTGCTCTACACAAATTGGGGATGTCCTGAAATCTTATAAAATGTATTCCTTCTCAATGAGACACGCTGTATTGACACAATCACAAAGACATCCCATCAGGCCATTGCTGACTGCCAATGACATGGTTCAGCTCCAGCAAAAAGAAGGAGATGCAATTAACCCATCCGGTGCTTCTCCTTTTCCAAGCCTATGCACACACAAACCGGCATAATTTGGCCGACTGGTGCAGTTGGCACAGAATTGTCTTGACAAGTGGAAGGGCTCCAAACGGCCACAGGAATCTGTGTCATAGGTATGGCCAATAATTGTGGCAAATTCTCGTGGTTGCAAATGAACGAGATGGATGAACGTTTACACCTGTAACCGCCTTACATTGATTCTGTTAGTAACCAGCTCTGCTCGTAAACAAACAAAAGGTGTTGTTTTGATGCTGTAAAATAATGAAAGTGATGGTTGATGGTTATGTTGGGACGGATGAAGAAGTAAATTCAAGGGGGATTCGCATCAACCTTGGTTCCCTTTTTTGCTCTGGCCAAAGTGGAGTGCACCCCATTGAAAAAACAACAAGATGTCTCCAGCATTTGCAGCAAAATGATTCCCAGCACCTCAAGATATATTGATTTGACACAAGTTTTAATGGTTATTTTCCTTGGGTGGCTGCCCAGCCCTTTCAGGAAGTACTTGGAAAAAGGATGATCTCCAGCAATAAACAGGTTCTGAGGGGCAACGAATGTGGACGTTTCCTGAATCCGGGGGTTTTAGCATTTCAATGAACCATCTGGTAGTTCCACCGAGAAAGGAAGCAGAAAGAAATTGAGCATAGTAAAAGTTACAATCATTGTTAATAATAGTAGATGATGGGCTTTCTTTCCATGGTTGAAGAAGATCTGGTATTCTGAATTCTCACCGGCGCTAGGGAGCAAGACTGCCATGTGCTTTCTAAAAGAAAAGTAGCAAATTACATTGAGTCTGTGCATCAAGGAAAGCCACGTCCTGTACTAAGAAAACCAGAAGACTAGAGAGCCCACGTATAGGCAAGGTTCTCTGGGTATTATCCTCTTTTACCAAAATTTCTCAGAAGATTATACAGTAGATGGAAGCTCAGAGATGATATCAAGGCGTTCTATTCATACTGCATCCAAAGGGACTCGAGGGGAGGTCTCTGAAGACAGAGAACTATTCTGCACATATTCCAAAAGGAGGAATAAGAGGAGCCGGGGAGGACTTGCTCCATATCATCCTCATCATCCCGGACAGAAAATACAAGTTATGAGTGGGAAGATTCTGTCCTGGCCCCTGTGTTGTTCAGCATCTCAATAAATGACTTGGAAGAATGAGGGTGTATTCTTCAGATCCGAAGCTGGCGCCAAACTGGGAGGAGTAACTCGGAAGACAGAAACGGGATTCAATCTCATCCTAACAGATTGGAGAACTGGGCCAAAGGACACGGAATCAGTTTTGACAAGGCTAACAAACGCGAAGCTCTGTGTTTCAGCAGGGAAGATCGGGAGGCACAAGTATAGGACGGGTGACATCTGGATCAACAATTGTAGGCATGGGGAAGATCTAGGAGTATAAGTAGAGCAAAATGGCAGGGGTTTGGTTCTAACGCCATTCCTCTACACCCCATCCTAGGTCTTAAGGTAGGTAACACTGCTGGGATTGGCTAAGTCTCTGGCTCTCTATGGGCCAGTGAGACAAGCTTTTCCACAGAGCTTTATCAAGGCTGCCGGACTTCCTGTTCCAGCAGCCGCCTCCGAGGGGGAAAAAAAACTTTGTGCCGTGAGGCGGGCTCGGCTAACGCTTTGTTTTGGCCCTGGGCTGCTTTCCCAACAATGCCACATTGTCTGGCCGAGATCACAGGGAAAGAAAGTGTGGGCCGCTGGCCCAGTTCTGCCCAGTTCCTGTGGAAACAGGCTTGCTCGGATTGATTTACAGTTTGTTTTCAGTGGTCCCCAGGTTGCTTTGTTCGTGCGGGGAGGGAAAATGGCCTGAAATGGAACACGGGGACCGGCAACGGTGTCCCGTGTGCGGAAAATTGTGCGTCGGACGGAGAGCCGTCCTTTCCAAAATGGGTGCCAAATCGCACTCGTCGGCCGTGAGAAAGAGGTTAATTTTTATCACTGACGCACAGTTTGCTTGCATGTTGATTTATTTGTTTGTTTATGATGGATGCTCAAGGCAGCGTCCGTCATTAAAAGGCTATTTAAAACTAACCAGACTGAGTATACAAATAGCAAGCCACGATCAAGCGAGATTTTCCAAGCAAGGTGCACACGGCCCAACGATAAACTAAAGGGGGTGAACTAACGAGAGCAACCGCGGGATAGCAGCCAAAATGTGAGCTTTAGGCTTCAAGAGACCTGGGTTCCGATCCTGGTTCACCCCCGACGAATTCGCCAGCAGGGGATTCTACTCTCCCAGCCTTGGGGCGATTTCCTCTGAGGACGAAGTGCGGAGGGGAGACCCAGGTCAGCTTGCCCTCAGCTGAACGATGGAAAAAGCGATGCCGATAGAGAGAGAAAATAACTCCGGTTGGGAGTAGCGATTGGAGGTAGGCTGCTGGAGTTTTGTTTTGTTTTTCAGAGCGTGTTTGCTCCGATAAGGCCCTTCCTTTGCCATTCTTGACCGTCCTTAACCAGGCCGCCTCCACAATAGAGGAGCCAGCTGCCAATTTTCCGAATCCTAAGGTCAGCCGAAGGCCTTCTGTGACCCTGACCGTCTGAGAGTCCTTAATCTGCTTTAGCCTGGAGGGAAAAGGAAAAAAAAAACCAGCCACACTTTTCCTAAACATAATCCCTCGGGATCAACGTTCCGCTCATTCGGGTCCTTGGGACATTCCGGTCTTCTCTTCCATACACTTCTCTCCACTCCGGGTGCTTTTAAATCAGGATGCCAGAAACCTTTGCCTCTCCAGATAGGAAAAGACGACCCAGTGAGTCCCATAGGGTCAACTCTGACCCACCACCATTTTCCTGGTTTCCAGTAGGATTTGTTTTTCTTTTTCCCCCTAGCCCTGCCTGGGGTTCCTGGGAATGGAACTTCCCATCATCCACACACAGGTCCTGCACCCATGAGCCACAAGATCTCTCAATACGGCCCTGTCCTTCTCCCCATCCAGAGACTAACCAGGCTTGCTTAGCTTCAGAAATCAAAATAGGTTGGGAATATTTGGGGTGAGCCGGCGCTGGTGTCACGTCTCCCCTCCCAGAGGAATCCTCTAGTCAGGACTAGCTGGAGGTGCAGGAACCTTGGGGGGGTGGACCTGCTGGGTTCTCCAGATCTTGGACCCTTGACCAAGAGGTGGAAGTCTGATCGACAGCCGACCGAAGAAGCTGAACCCCCCCATCCAGACCACACTAGGTGGAGGACGCAAGTCTGGAGGGAAGCCACCAAGCCAAGGCTGAGGCTCCTGAGAAAGGCTCCTCAGGAGGAAGCCCCTTCCTCCCAATGAAGTGGGTGGGCCAAACTCTGCACCTGCCGTCCTTCCTCTGCAGGCTAAAGGCTTGCACCTGAGGGCCGGGTGGGGCCCAGCAGCTCAGCTGGAAGAAGCCAAGGAGGGTGAACTTTTGCAGAAGCGTTTGGCTCCCTTCTAGAGGTGGCTTGTCTCGTGACCTCTGAGCTGTTGGCGACTCTTCTTGGATGGCTTGGACGAGGAACCCTGCGCTCTCTTTGCTTGCCTGCCACACCCCTGGGCTGGCTTTTCTACCCTTTGGGCCTTTGGGCTTCAGGTAAGTCCACCTGTCGTTCCGTGGACCTCTTTGCTCCTCCTCCCCCTGGGCTCTTCTGGCGGAGCTTCTGCTCACCCAAAACCCCATCTTGGTTGACTCTTATTTCTGGACTTCCCAAGGCCTACAACAAACACGGCTGAGGGCAAGCGACTAGAATATAGTCCTGTGGTTGGTTCCGAAACTTGGGTCCTCAGATGTTCTTGGACTAGAACTCCCAGAAGCCTTCACCCCTTGCTGTGCTGGTCAGGATTTCTGGGAGTTGTAGTCCAAGAACCTCTGGGGACCCCAGGTTGGGAACGACTCTTAAGACATAGAGGGTTCATCCGTTTTTTGTTTCCTTGCGAATTTGGTTGTTTCCCCCCCCCCAAAAAAGACCTGAAACTTGGTTCCTCAGATGTTCTCGGACTAGAACTCCCAGAAGCCTTCACCCCTTGCTGTGCTGGTCAGGATTTCTGGGAGTTGTAGTCCAAGAACCTCTGGGGACCCCAGGTTGGGAACGACTCTTAAGACATAGAGGGTTCATCCGTTTTTTGTTTCCTTGCGAATTTGGTTGTTTCCCCCCCCCCAAAAAAGACCCTCCCTCTTCTTAGCCTTCAGTCTGAGCGCTTTGGGAATCTCGAAAGCTTCATCTCCCTCAGCGTCTCGCCCGGATGTGACAAGGTGGTTGCCGTGGCAACCACTTTCTTCTTTTAAAAAATGGCTATGTAGGTAGTCTTTCTTCCTCCGAAGCTGAAGCACAAAGGAGATCACCGATCGTTGGTGTCTTGGCTCACATCTGTCCTTGGGTGGAGTGTCCAAGCATTTTTTTATTCACCTTCCTTCTGGGCTGAACCCATGACCGGCCAAATCCTTTCCTCTCCTAACCTGGTTGAAAGTATGATGTGGTGGTTACGAGTTCGGAATTCGGACGCATGGGCCATTCATGGAAATCGACAAATCTAGGAAGCGGCAAGCCAGTTTACACGGGGCAGAAGAAGGCAATTCCATGCTGGCTAGGAACTTACCTTGTCTCAAATAGTACTTTTCTGAGCTCTGATTGTGTTTCTCTTCCGGGTAGAATGTGTTGTTGTTATGTGCTGTCAAGTCACCTCTGTGTTTCTCTTCTGGGTAGAATGTGTTGTAGTTACGTGCTATCAAGTTACCTCCAAATTATGCTGACCCCCATGAATGAGCCATCGCCAACATATCTCCTCAACAGCCCTGCTCAGCTCTTGCAAATTCAACCCCATGGCTTCCTTTAGAGAAATAGTCTGTCTCGTATTCGGTCTTCCTCATTGCCTGCTGCCTTCCACTTTTCCTAGCGTTATTGTCTCTGCCAGAGAATCCGGCCTTCTCAGGATGTGGCCCAAAGTCGGACAGCCTCAGTTTCAACATTTTTGCCTCCAGAGATATATTTCAAGTTTGATTTGATCTTGGACCCACTGATTTATCTTTCTGGATCTCCAACGGATCTGTAAAGCTCTCCTTGGGCGCCATGTTTTGAATGACTCCGTTCCCCCCCCCTTTCAGTTGTCCAGCTTTCATACATGTCGATAAGAAAGACAAGAGTGTGGACAGTTGCCTTTTTTTTTGGACTTGGAAACCCCAGAATCTCACAACCAGGCTGGTTCTGCATAGAAGCTTTCCCATCTGCCTTTTGCAGCCAATTGGTCCTTACCTTCCAACTCCGAGGGAAATCAAGTATATCTTCATTTGAATTTTTGCAGGTATTTGCCCAAGGTGCAGCACGGCACAGGCACCATATGCAAACGCTGGGCAAATGGGTGCATGATTTTCATCTTCTGTTTTGAAGCGACTGCTCTGTGTAAGACAAAATACCGGAAACAGAACGGCAGACTGTTTTAAGGACCACCCCAAAATCAGAAGCAACAATAACCAGGTGTCGATTCAATTGCTTTCCATCATCTCCATCATTGCTAGGAGGCTAATCATCATCACCACCATGTGCTGTCAAGTCAATTCTGACTTAAGGCAACCCTTATCAGGGATTTCCAGGGAGCAAATACTCAGAAGTGGCTTCCCACTGCGTCCTTCTGGGGGTATCCCTGGGAGTGTGCAGCTTGCCCAAGGCCACACAGGCTGGCTCTTCTCCGAGGAAGCACAGTGGGGGAATCGAACTCCCAACCTCTGGCTCCTCAGCCAGATGATTAAACAACAAGGATTTTCTTGTTGTTCAGTCATTAAGTCATGTCCAACTCTTTGTGACCCCATGGACCAGAGCATGCCAGGCCCTCCTGTCTTCCAC